TATTAGGATGCAAGGCTCTTGATTCTGAATGTCTTATGTTATTCATACAACTTGCACAATATATACAAGTCTCTGCAATTAGAATCCAAATACAAAAAAGGAAACTGAATATATAGATGTGATACAGTAGTAATGACAAATTGATTCAGTAAATCTAAGATTTGATTTGCTGTGAATTATTGTCCTTAATATATATCACATAAAAAAGATGTAGTACCTTTAATTAACTTAAATAATATTTGTTTTCCTCTCACTTTTTTTTTTTTAAGACTAAGATTTGATTATTTGTATGTGAAAAATAAGCACTTCTGTTTTTACAAAACAGCTACACTTCTTTACCATGTCCACTAGTGTATGATTTGTTTTTTACTTAACCAAATACATATATTTAGACCAATGCACATAGAAAAAGCATTGATAAAAGATATATTTTTTTATAATTTTATTTATCATTTAATAATGAATTCTTTTCATTCAATGAGATTCATAATATTATATGTATTTACTTATTAAATAACATGTGAAAATTATATAAAAATTTATACCAAAGAATTGTCACTGTGTATCATTACCTATGATTTAATGCTTGGTCCTCAGCTTGTTGGATTGTTTATATTTTAGTTCCTGAAATTTTCTCGATCCTTAAACTTATTTTTTAAACCCAAAGTTATCTTTCCATTGCACAATTTTTCATCCAAAAATAGGTCATTTTTACGTAGAAAATTACATGAAAAAAACAAAGAGGACAATTAAATGTGGTGGAAAAATTTCGCATCCGCATGTATATATTTGATAATTTTTTTAAATTAAGATAATTATTAGTAAGTATAATGCATCTAACACTTACAAAATTAGGAAAGTCTATTTAGAAAAGTTTTATATCATAAACTAAAAGGGTTTCTGTCCATGTAAAACATTTCATTGAACACAAGTGCAAGATCTTTACAAGGAAGAATAGAATATCATTACGAACACCGTTACCTTTCTCGTGCCTTGTGGGCAATTGCCTAAAGATACACATTGTTCTAAATCTGGTAATTGGTGGATGAATTAATTTGCAATTTTCTTGTGATTAATTCATGGCAAATTTAATAAATAACATGGGACTGATTTCTAATTGAAATTAATTTACCAAATTTGAAAATTTTGAAAGGGTTAGGGGGCGGCTGCCCCCATTGTCCTACATTGGCTCTGTCCCTGAGTCCAACAATTAAGTGGAGACAATTAATAATAGAGACATGTCTTATACCCTCGCATGTGCATGCTCTATTATATTATTATTATTATTTACTTACTCCAGCTTGTCTATCTATATAATTAATTTTACTCGATTAAAAAGTTTTATGCAGAAAATATGAAATTTACTCCTTTTTTTGTAGGAAAAAAAAAAGCTAAGCAAGTATAGGTTGATCCAGATTCATTTCATCACCAAACAATTTCCTGGAATATTGTTAATAAAAACTATATTTTTAGATAAGAGAATTCTAAAAATTGCAATTTTATTTCTCATCCATTTATTCAGGTAATAAGGAGGGTTCATAAACTCTATTACATAAGAGTATGCTTTTCTTGTTATAAAGCTTCGGACGATGAAATTCTACAATTCCTCTGTTACTTCATTCCCCTCTGCATAGTAATACTGCAAATTTCAAATAATAAAACTAATTAAGCAAAAGATGCATAATTCTCAATAAAATCAAATAAAAAAAGTACTAATTAATTAATCAGTCAATTATATTGACAATTAGAGAGTACAAATAGCAAAATTAATTAGTACACTAATTAACAACATCCTAACATACTAAATCGAAAATCTTAAATCCAAACTTTCAGTTGGATCAAAGGTAACTCCATTTCTACTAAGTTTAGTTTTGTGGATTGATGTCAATTTCCAACCATCTGTGCAGTAGACTCTTAAAACCTTATTGGTTTTTTTTTTTTTTGTGAAATGTATGGATGAGTATCTCTTGTACTTTTTTTTTTAATAAAATATTTCAATTCATCAAAAAAAAATTCAAATTTTCAGTTCATTTATATCAAATTTAGGAACAACGTCAGAAGGAGAAATGGATTACTTATTGCAGTTGGTGTCGGGGTCGATGGGCACCGGAGTGTTAACACTACACATTGGAGCCAACTCCCTAGCTCTTTCTGGGTTGACCCCAACGCTAGGGGCAGTAGCCTTCAAACAATTACAAAGGACCTGACGATCTTTGGTTGTTGAAGCTTCATCATTCAGTTTAGACACGCCTTCGCAGCAAGGAGCACTTGGGGATGGCGAAGCACCCGTTAAGAAGGGCACGCAAGTGGCCAATGTGCTTATGGCTTCCGAACATGTAATGGTAGCATGCACGCAGCGGCTACCCACCATGGCCAAAATGATTCCGAGCCCAAGAATCCATAAAAACCAAGACCCACAATCCATCATTTTTCTCTCCATTTTTCTTTTCTCAGACTATTGCTATACGCTAGAAATTACTATCACAAGAGGTATAGAATTTGCTTCTGTGGAGCAACTGGGTTTGCCTTGAAAACAATTTATAGGGATTTCTATTAAAGCTAGTCAATGATTCATTAATATTTACAGCTGTAACCTTCCATTTCTGGAGATATACATACCATAATTTGATATGGTAATTTTAACTGAAAAATATAATGTGAATGACTTCAATAATACAATACCATGCGTACTCTTTAAATAAAAGGGTTTTTCTAGTTTTTGTATTAAGGTTTATTGTATTTTTTTATCATTAATTTATATAAAAAAATTATTAAAAATACCAATGTCATATAAAATAATTTAATTAAAAAGTGGATAAAACTTAAGCCAATTTTTATTTTTTTCATGTAAACTAATGAAAACAATGTACAATAAATAAAAGACATTACTGCGTATTAGTCTTTACTGCGTATTAGTCTTGACTCTTAAAAAAATTAGAGTTCCAAGTTATATTTATAAACTAAAATTTTAATTTAAAATTTGCAAATTCATTTTGTTTTCAAATTTAAATATAAATATTTAACAAAATAAATTTTTAATTTTTAAATTAAATTTTAATTAAATAAAATGATCTATTTTAAGATTAAAACTCTAATTTTTCTTTAAAATCAAAACTTATATGCATTTTTCTCTAAATCTAATATACTCTTAAACTATACCATAAGAGAATATATTAAAAATTCTTAAATAAAAGTAGTTTATCATTTAATATCTAGTCACATTCTACAATCCATTACGAGGGGTGTTCATATCCAATCCAATCCGATTGATCCGATCTAAACTGATCCAATCCAATCAAAAACCAATCTAAACCGATATAAAATTGGGTTGGTTTGAATTATAAAATTTTAAAACCGATATAATTGGTTTGATTTGTGGTTTTACCTTCAAACCGTCTAAACTGCTCAATTACAAAATTAAATCTGATTACAAGATAACTTAATTAAATAATATAATATATTTTTTGTAGTACTTTAAAATTTCTTTTTCTTATTTTACAAGATAATAACTCCATTAACTTAATTAAAAAATAAAAATAGAACATCTCCATATTCCCTAAGTTATTTTTCCATTTTAATCATGCACTCTAACCCTAATTCTAAATTTCTAATTCACCTACAACTCTATCCCTTCAAAACTAGTTTATGCCTTTACTCTTGAAACCATAAATTTCTAATTTATTCTCAAAATAATCTTATGATTCTCTTAACTAAGTTTTAAATAAGTATCATTCTAAAAGTCTTAAAACTATATAATAAAATTAGTCTTGATATTCTACTATTCTTGGATATTTAGTTTAGAAGTTTTAAATTTTGATTATGAATGCTTCTAATCAATTTTAATGATATTCATGTTAAATTTTATTCACTTTTAACATGATTTAGAAAATGAGATTAAATTATTAATGCATTAAGAAAAAAAAATTTTAATTTTTAAGAATTATTTACGCTATGCTAGAAACTTGAAGTTATCTTTTATTGTTCTTGGTGCCTCTAGTGATATAACCAAGAAAAATTTTCAAAACTTTTCAATTTTTACAAATGTAAAGGGGTATAAGAACTTGTTTATAATTTGTACTTTTTATTATGTTTTTACTAATTTGTATGCTATTGTGTTTTATGGTTATACTTTCTATTCGATATTAAAATATTTTTACATTATCTTATATATTTAATAATGTTAAAAACCAATCAATCCGACTGAACCATACTGATTCGATTTAAGTTGGATTGGTTTGGTTATCATATAATAATGGATTAGATTGGTTTAAAAATTTTATTTACGGATTAAATTGGATTAGTTTAAAAAATGTTAAAAGCAACCAAACCACACCACGAACACCCCTACCTATTACAACCCATACATTTAAAATCATTATATGTCTATCAGTTTTCTAAAATCATTGTATGTGTGGTATTGTCTATTAAAAAATGGTTAAATTTAATAAATAGTTTATTAACTATGTAATTTATTTCAATTTAGTCTAGAAACAATTTTTCTTTCAAAATGATCTATAAATATCAATTTGTTTCAAAATGGTCTAGTTGACAAACATTCCGTTAATTGATTAACGGAATTCTTTCTAGCGGTTGACAAGTTGCCTCTTAAACTTTTGAAAAATGTTAAATATAGTACATATATTTTTATTTTTTACAACATTTTGTTTTTAAAGTCTAAATTTTTTTTGTCAAATATAATAATTAACCAAGATGAATTTCAATTTACATTCATTAAAATTATAATTTTAATTTACAATAATCAATATTATAATTTAAATTTTATAATTTCTAAAAAAAATTAATTTATTATTAAATATTAATATTTTTAATAAATAAACCCTTCCAAATTTTAATTTAATTAAATGAGCACTCACATATAATTAAAATTACCTTAAAAAATAAAAATTCATTTCAATCTTATAAATCCCAAAATTAAAATCATGCATGTATTATTAGTGTTAAAAATAAAATTAAAATTTTTTATTTTTCTATACAAAGTAGTGAAAAAATATGTAATTTAATTATGATATTAAGTTTTTTACGAAATAATAAAATTTAAATTATAATATTGATTGTTGTAAATTAAAATTAGAATCCTAATCAATGTAAATTAAAATTATTATCTTAATTAATTATCATATTTGACATAAAATTTAAACTTCAAAAACAAAATATTACAAAAGAACAAAAATATATATACTAAATTTAACATTTTTCAAAAGTTTAGGGGTAGCTTGTCAATACCTAGAAAGAATTCCATTAGTTAGTTAACGAAATGTTTGCTAAGTAGACTATTTTGAAACAAAATTGATAGTGTATAAATCATTTTGAAAAAAATAATTTTTTTGGATTAAATTGAAATAAATCACATAGTTAATAAACTATTTATTGAATTTAACCATAAAAAAATAATACCTCTCAGAAAGACATTTAAAATTGTTAAAGGTATTTGCAAAAAAAACCTCCTCACTTATATGGCTGAGGTTCGAACACATATTCTCTCTCCTTACTTCTCTTCCTCAATGAGGTTTTTAACCAGTTGACATAACCACAAAAAGGAAAAAAAAGTACTACCTTTAACTTAAATAATATTTTCCCAAAATTAGTATAGTTTTAACTAGTTTTTCTTTTTAAGAGGAAAATTTGACGTTGTAAGTAGAATATTAGCTTTGTACTTTTTTCTATTTAAAGATGTTAACTTTGTTAATTTCTAAATAAAGATGTCAACTTTTAATTTTTTTCTAAATAAAGATGTTGATTTTCAATTTTTCTATTTAAGGATTAATTGAGTGGTAATGCTAATGTGATTAACATATTGTTTTAGGTTAAATATCTAAATTGGTCCCTCAACTTTTATTTTTGAACCAATTCATCCTTGAACTTCAGAAAGTACCGAAAATGTTCTTCAACTTCAATTTTCAACACCAATTTCATCTTTCTGTTAGTTAATTAGTTAAGTGCTGATGCAACTAATTTTTCTGCTAAGTGATTAACTATTTTACATTTTCAATATTAGGTGGAAAATCCATCATGTAAAAGATGATTATGTGGATTTTTTCAATTTTAAATAATTTAAAAACTACTTTAATTCTTAATTTTACTTTATTTACATTTGAAAATTAAAACAATTAATATATTTTCCCATTTAATTAGTCCCACCTACCATAAGTGACTCTTAATTTATAAAGAACTAAATTAACTCTCATTTAATTTTATTAAATCAAATCTCACCTACTATAATTATTTCTTAATTCATGGAAGAATTAATTAACTTTTATTTAATTTTATTAAATGGAATTAAAATAAAATTAAAATAATTTTGTGGTTCTTCTTCCTCGACCTTCTTTTTTGTTTAAATGATTAAAATAAACTGTTATTATTTCCTAATTGATTCTTTCATGATTAAATTCCATTTAATAAAATTAAATAAAAGTTAATTGATTCTTCCATAAATTAAGAAATAATTATAGTAGGTGAGATTTGATTTAATAAAATTAAATAAGAGTTAATTTATTTCTTTATAAATTAAGAGTTATTTATGGTAGGTGGGACTAATTAAATGGGAAAATATATTAATTGTTTTAATTTTTAAATATAAATAAAGTAAAATTAAGAATTAAAGTAGTTTTTAAATTATTTAAAATTAAAAAAATCCACATAATTATCTTTTACATGATGAATTTTTCACCTAATATTGAAAATGTAAAATAGTCAATCACTTAGCAGAAAAATTAGTTACATCAACACTTAACTGATGGAAAGACGAAATTGGTGCTGAAAATTGAAGTTGAAGGATGTTTTTGATACTTTCTAAAGTTCAAGGATGAATTGGTTCAAAAATAAAAGTTAAGGGACCAATTCAGATATTTAACCTAAAAAAATATGTTAGCCACATCATAATCACCACCCAATTATTTTCTTAAATAAAAAAAGTTGAAAGTTAAAAGTTGACATCTTTATTTAGAAAAAACGAAAAGTTTACATGTTTATTTAGAAACTGACAAAGTTAACATGTTTAAATAGAAAAAAATGCAAAGTTGACATCCTTATTTGCATCTTTACTCAGAATTCGGTTGATAAATGAGTTTTTCTCTCACCTTTTTTAACTAACATATGCTGGTCTGTTTATAGAATTCAAAAATGAAGAAGCTACAAGACCTGATGTGCTGAGGGAGTGGTTTTTCTTGGTATGTCAGGCTCTATTCCATACAGAGATTGCCTTTTTCGCATTGTCCAAATGATCACAGAAGGTTCTTTCCTAATCATGCGTCTAAGGTGCATCACTTGCACCTTGATTACTTCAGGTTTGCTGGCTGTGTGATTGCTTTAGCCTTGATGCATAAAGTGCAAGTAGGTGTTGTCTTTGATCCTATCTTTTTCTTACAATTGGTAGAAATGCATGTTTCTTTGGAAGATATCAAAGAGGCAGATCCATGTTTGTATAGTAGCTACAATCCTCACTATGGATGATGATGCTATTGATTCATATGATCTAGGATTGACTTTTGTTAGAGAAGTTAAGGAGTTAGGATCCAAGAAAGTTATAGAGCTGCGTCCTGGTGGGAAAAGCATTGCGGTGAATAGCAGAAATAGGCACGAATATATTGACCTTTTTTAACTAAGATTAATTATTTGTAAGTGAAAGAGTAAAGATGAGTACATTTTAGTTAATTATTGGTTTAGTTATTAAATTTAAATTTAATTTAATTTAAAAATAATAATCTTTTATTGAGTATATATGGTGTAAAATATATTAAATTAAATCAAGCATCAATCATTGTCCAAGTGAAAAATATGTAAACTTCTAATTTTTACAAAATATCTCCACTTCTTTACCAACTCCACTTCATTTCATTCCCAAACAATTTTACTGGAATATTTTTAATAAAAACTATATTTTTAGACAAGAGAATTCTAAAAATTGCAATTTTATTTCTCATCCATTTATTCAGGAGACAAGGAGGGTTCATATACAAACCTTATTACATAGAGTATGCTTTTCTAGTCATTAAACTTTGGATGATGCAATTCTACCACTCCTTTGTTAATTCATTCCCCTCTATACAGGAATCCTGCAATTTTTAAATAATAAAAAGAATTAAGCAAAAGATGCATAATTCTCAATAAACTCAAAATGAAAAAAGTACTAATTAATTAATCAATCAATTATATTGACAATTAGAGAGAACAAATAGTAAATTAGTTTACTAATTAACAACATGATAACATGTTAATTAAATTAAAAATTTTAAATTCAAACTTTCAGTTCCTTTATACCAAATTTAGAAACAAAGTCAGAAGGAGAAATGGTTTACGTATTGCAGTTGATGTTGGGGTCAATGGTCACCGAAATGTTAACACGACACTTCTTAGGCAACTCCTTAGCTCTTTCTGGGATAACCCCAATGCCATGGGCAGCAC